TTTATTTGCCCAATATTAAAAGCACCAATCAGTAATGCACGTGCTCAGTAATGCATGTGTACACAAAAATTGTCAAATTGAAAACCGCCAATTACAATTTTACAACAAAAATGTCAAAAGAAGCATTATACAATATACAGTATACTGAGATATACTGACCTTTCAATGGTTCTATATACATTTCTTTAAAGCTACTAGTATTAACCAACATATCATCAAGATATACTCTACCAGGAGATGCTCCATTCTTTTCACGTAATCTCATTCTACACAATAAGTCACATGATAGTCACATGATAGTCACATGATGTACTTACTTGTCTAATTTAAGGACATAGTCAATTCCTTGTACTTTTGCTTCTTCAATAATTTGTTTCTTAAATTCTCTCACTGGTGTATCCTTAGTAGCAATAGACTTCAACATAAACTTACAAAACTTAAATACCATAAAATAAAATTATAAGTGATAATCATTTGTGGGTTTTACCTCTATACTGTTAACTTGTAATAAATATAATTTAATTCTGTACTCTTCTACTCGTAATGGACTAAGTCTTACTATCAACTATTATAAACAAAGTAATAAAGAGATGAGTGTGTGTGTTATTAATACAGTACGGTAGGTATAATGGAAAGAAGTGAATGATCAAATAACATACTAAACTACACGCATACCTTTGATTCAGATATATTCATTAATATCTCATCCAGTCTCTTCATTTCATATTCTTCATTACCACTGATTCTATATACTTCAAAACCAGTAGATACTACACCTATTAGTGGAACTAGCTCCTCCTTCAATTGAGCTAATGTGGTTCTCTTATCAACTTTTACCTGTATCTCTGTATTGAATAATACCGGTATGATGTTAATGATGATCTTTACAAATTAATAATTTATTATTACTTCTTTCCTTTCCTTTACTTTCATCTTCCATTGATATAATTTTCATTACTACTCTTCCTTTTCTTCTAATAGTTGTAGTGGGTAAGGCTTCAGGTCCAGGAGGTATTATAATGTCCAGTAGTATTGAGTTGAAGTGAAACTCAATACATTTGTTCATCAAACTATCTTCAAATTCTTTTTGATAATCTTCAGGATCTGATGATACATACAGCAACTGAGTGTGTGACTGTGTGGGTGTGTAGAGGAAAGATGAATGTTTATAAACAAGAGTAGATCTACTCTTGATATAAATGATTATCATTTAAATAAAAATAAAATAATGTCTCTCTCATTTATTTAGGTATTATGTACTCTTGCTGAAATGTGTATGCTCAACAATACATGGCTGTAAAGTATTAATGCAAATTTTTGACAAAATCACAAAATAAAATCCCCAACAACATTCTGATTACAGACCATACATACATACGTATGCATGCATAATTGTATAACCAGAAACTGCCATAGATTCAGCAATTTTGTTGACAATCACAAAACTAAATCCTCTATACTTGAAAATGAAAGTAAATTTTGGATGGATAGGCAAAAGTTTAATCCCTCAAAAGTTTCCAGCTATAGTATATATAATGTGTGAACTAACAGTATTGTGTCCTCTCATCTTGAGTATCTCCTTTAAAGTACCTCCTACATCACTAATATCCCTGATTTTAAAAGTATCATTCCAGTAATCCTTCTCCCTCATTACTAGTCTCATACATGATAAATTGAGATTATATGCCTAGAGAAAGGAATGGACCAAATCAATGGAGGGAGAGAAGGAGAAAAACATTGGTATCCTTCCTCTTACTTCTCCTATATGCTGTTTTAAGTTTTCAACAGTCCAAGCTAGCCATGCTCTCATTTCT